TCAATTTTCACACAACATATACATTTTGGGAGAATCTTAAGGAATCATTATATCATACTTACTTGTCATTCGAGATTGTGAAGTGTTGTTCAATGTCGACTAAATGTGGCGTAGTTTACGGTCAACTATCCATTCTTTTTGCGCACTTTTGAGGAACATTTGGGCGTATTCAGGGTCCGGGGAACATTAAACACTTTTTACATGTCTGTGTACAAATAGCGATATGATATGAGGTATTGAGGTTCAGTTGAATGGACATTTTATCCCATTAGCATTCTGATATGCGTTTTTACAGCTCCACTATTCGTACGCAGATTATCCAGGAATGTTTTCGGCATTTTCATATTTTTCTCGCAGACACTATTACTTGACGAAAACGTCAGCTTTGATATAACACTGTTTTCGTTTTCTATATATCTGCTATGCAGTACAACTGTAAATCTCCCTTATTTAAGTATTTAACAAATCACCACTATAAATCAGAACTAAAATTAGATATCTCAAATACATACGACTGGAATCTGGATTTTGTCACTCTTCATTTCGGCTGCGGAAAATGTAGTATGTAATTCTAATGCCAACATAGTCATCATTTTCCTATAAGGCAGTACATATGATGCTTATTTGCAAGACCAAAATTGCCATTATCTATATAGCAACCTCATAGAACACCCCTATAGTCGAAAATTCTGGCAAATATTTGTAGTAAATTTATATTGCATCCTTTCCTTCACCAACTAGACATTGTATAGCTACCAGGAAGAGAACGGGCAGGCTTAATGGTAATGTCTAAAAGGGATGGACGAGAGGTAGTTACGAGATGGTTCCAAAATTGAAATAAAAGTTTGGGTTAGTATTAGGGTTAGTGTGGGGGTTAAGATTAGGGTTAGGTGTGGGTTAGTAATGTTGCATGCAAGTAGCTGTATGTCGATTCTTTTACGTTTTAATGATCTTAAAAACTGACGGCCATCTTGAAAACCTCTAGTCTATCCCCTTTAGCCACGACCCAGGCCTAATGTACGAACTTTTTCTGATCGAGAAATCATTTTATTTAAATTTCTCCACACTATTTCTGTGACCGTTTCTTTTGCGGAGGTCTGTGCATGGCTAAATGAAATGAGTTTATCAGATTTTTTGTGATATTGTTTCGAGGATATCGAAAACAGACCGCATGTAATTAAGTTCCCATGTCAGATAAATATTAAGTATAAGCTCTTGATAACCGTCTTGACAATGTCATCAACTGGAGTCCAATGCCAAAGAATTTACTGATATAGACATTGACATTCGATCAACAATACTGTATCCATACACATAATTATGTTGTTGTTCGAAGACCACAATGTTATATCGACTGGACAATGGACTCAAGATTTTCTCTATAATGGACATTATGATTGTATAGATAGCATAGATTGATATATATGTATTATGGATAGCTCGTCTTGTGTTCGCACTAAGATGCACAGATGAATGGTACGTCTTCAAACATGATAGAATATTTGCTAATAGGCTTTTATTAACACTGAATATCACAAAGGTTCACAAGGAGTTGTCCCACGATGGCGAGATGAAAGAGGAAAATGGCAAGATTAGGTATTGAATAACGCGTAGATGTAGGGACTAAAAGGAATTAACGAGTTTATTGATGTCATGAACATCCTGATTCCTATAGGGCTCCTTGGTTTAGAGCCTAGCACTCCCAATCGAATAAATGCTGCGCGATGAGCTTGAATCATTGGACATCTGGACTGCTTGCTGTAATCTGCTAATGGGAAACAACGGTGACTTACGAAAAACACTGAGTAAAACCAGAGTAAAACAGCGCTGCTGGCGCATAGCAAAATATTTTCCGTGCAAAATTTAAAAGGATTATTTATTTTAAACCACTACCAAAGCCATGTCGATCGTAGATATAAGAGATCATTGATTATTACCATGCCAAACCGTGCATTCCATTTGTCGTCATCCTGGAAACACTTTGTGGAAGAGTGTGATCGTCTAAAGAGCGGTTTTGCCAATCTACGATATCCTCTCAGACTCGTTGACACAATCATCTCTGAGTTTGTAACCAAGAAATACGCAGAAATGAACAACTCGATCCCAACTGAGTATGTGAAAAGAGATGTGATTTGCCTGGCCCTGCCGTTTAAAGATCAGAAGTCGTCTGACATCGTGCGAAGACAACTCGCAGGCATTGGTTCGGTGATTGGTATTAAGAGCATTAGAGCCAGTATATAAAAGTAGAAAGATCAAAGAAGTTAAGGTTCACGGGATGAAACCACCATGCAATTGTAAGTCAACAACGCGTTGTATACAGATATAAATGTGATCTGTGCGATACAGATTATGTTGGCTATACTGGTCGGCGCTTACATCAGCGCATTGATGAGCACAAGCGGTCGGTAATCGGGAAGCATAGGAGGGAAGATCACGAAGAGGATGCGTCGAGAATTGAAGGTTGCTTTTCAATTCTTCGAAAATGCGAGGAAAGTACGAGTGTCTTCAAGGAAAGTACGAGTGTCTTCTTTACGAAATGCTGTATATTAAGGAACTATCACCGTCCTTGAACACTCAAACGGACTCGATTCGTTCAAAACTTGATACTTAGTCCTATAATTAATGGGCTTTATGTTTGTTTTGTTTATTATGTTTGTTTGTTGTTTTTTGTGTACATGTTTGATACATTTATGAAAGACAGAAATATGTTTAATCTGTTTTATGTTTTTGCATGTAATTTATTACGTAATATAAATTTATTTATTTTAATCTGATATATAATCCATGGGCAATCACTTTTATATTTCCGCCATCTTGTGACCATGCTTTTTGAGGCTGGGCAAGCAGTCCAAATTACCAATACAAAGTTGCTAATATACTATGCTAAATGTTTTTTTATTTCTGATGTTATGTAATTTTTCTATATTATGAATACCGGAAAAAGCTTTCCATGCAGTCTAGCCAGTTACCACAGGTATTACTAATGTCGTTTTAGGGATTATTTAAAAAGCTATGTATGACTATATCTACGCCCTGATTACTTGTGCATGCTATATCAAGTGTGTTATGTGAAGGTTTGGAACTTACTAGGAACAGCAAGAACGCTAGGAACGACGTAGCCTGCTCGCAGGCCGTTATCAGGCAGAGGCTGGGAGGAACGGCCTGCGACCTTTATTAGTAAAAAGTCGATTTATGCGTACGGAGCGTACGCAAAATTCCCATTGGTCAGAAGTGCCCCATGAGTTAATATCGTGCAAATATTTAACTCGTACGACATTTCGCAATGTAATTTTAAAGCTGGTATTCAATCAGTGGCGTATAAAACCATGACTTTGTTTATCTCTTCGAAGAAGTAACTGAATGTATTTGAGAAACCTTTCAATTTAAATTAACGTTGAAGGATGAGCGAAGGTTAGCAATATTAACTGTACTTCCAACGGGATTTGATAAAAGTTTAATATACCAATACTTTGTCTTCGTCAGCTATAAACCTTTTCCAAAGAAGTACAAGGGAAAACTTCGACGTATGCCTTGCTGATCTTTGCAGAGAGAGTAAAATAAGTCTAGTTCAGGCTGACAATTTATCTAACCGCGTTTGCATCACTTGCGGCAGAAATCTTCGAGACTTTTGTGTGTGTTTTCAAACGTTGAACAACTTAGCCCAGCGAGACGTTCGTTGAGACACAGGCAGTGAATCAGCTAGTATAAAGCAGTTGATTGTCAAATGCCTCCGAACATTTCTCCCAAATACTTCCCTGTCAACCGGCATGTAGTAAAACACTGACTACCGGAACACCGGAACACCACCGGAACACCGGAACACGTACCACCATTTTGTTTGGGGTTAGGGTTTGGGTTAGGGTTGGAGGTTAGGGTTGGGGTTAGGGTTAGGGTTAGGTGGTGTTCCGGTGGTGTTCCGGTGGTGTTCCGGTGGTGTTCCGGTGGTGTTCCGGTGTTCCGGTAGTCAGTATTTTACTACATGCCCTGTCAACCCAAGGCTTTCTGCCTAAACAATCTGACCTTGAATAAGTCAAGACAATGGGCAAATTATTAAAACAGACGCCGTCGAGGAAAGTCGTTCTTAGAACACCTGGCCAATTTGAATTTACACCTGGAAATTTTGCAATAGTCGTTTTCGTGTTTTTTGACCGAAGTCCGCTCTCTCTTTGAGACTTTATTTTTGGGAGTCTCAACTAGTGACATATATTATTACAACAAGAGCTTTTTACAAAAAAAATGTAGTTATTAAACACGGCAGAATCGATGCCACGGCCACGGGTTTTCAAATTGTCTATTGTCTATTGAGTTAATTGTATAATTGAGCAAATGACAGACTTCACGCAATAATGATTAATGTTGTTTTTTAGCCTGCTATTGTTCGACACTTTTAATAAATAGTGTTTGTTACTTTGTTCAAAACCTAAATACGTTTCCTTAAATCTTACAGTTATATTTTGGATATAAATATATAAAATACATTAACTAATAGAGAGTAAAATTTTACGTCTCTGTAGTATAGTTACATAATTTAAACGGCAATGTACGAACAAGACAGCAATATACAAACGGGACTATGTTTTAAATATTAGAACACTTGAGGGAAAAAACGACCATGAATTATTTTAGATTAAAGTTTAGACCTTGGAATCCTAGTGAAAGATATAGGCGTAAAATTGCGCGAGAAACTGGTTGTTGTTGTTAATAACCTCTGGTAATCTAATTAACAAAACTTGCTCTGATTGGCTACTATTTACCGGATATTCAATTATCTCAAAGGGGGCGTATTGAAAAAATATCAATAAAAGTCGCAGCCTCTATATAATAGAGCCTGTGAGCAGGCTACCAGAAAATGTAATCGACTGGCTAGGAAGATGGCGGCCAGGATGACAGAAATTTCAAAGCTTCCGACGTAAGTGGCCCTTCTGTGTGCCTTGTTCTGTGCCTCGACCTTATGACCCTCGACAGTCGACTCGTCACACGTGGTTGACTTGTTGTGAATCCGCTCTCACTGTCACTGGATAACTCTACTGATATTGTGAGTGTATTATTGTAAATTTTGCGTTTAAGCGACGAAATTGGTATATATTACATCATTATTTTGAACGTTTACAAAATACAGTAAGTAAACCATTTATTTTATCGTTTCTTGTGTTTTAAAGAGTCGCTTGTAGTGCATTTTTGCTCCTTGATTTCTTGAATATTAGAATTGCAGACCGAATAAGGAATGCACGTTGGTATGGCGCCACCTGTGTACGTTTTTCAACTTACTACTTTTGTGTTGACACTATACTCTGAATATAATGCGCTGTACTGTACTGTAATAATGTTTCTAATTTGAAAAATGGCGTTTATTTGTACTGTAGAATGCGTACTTTCGTTTTTAGTATATAATTTCCGCTGTGGCCTGTGGAGGCTCCGCTACCCGAGCGCTCCTTCTTTAAAACGGGCAACGCGGCGACGACAACGGCCAAAACAAACTCCTTCAAATAAAAGGTAGTAAAGATAATTCGTCGTATATTATCAATCGTATGAATTTAGTACATTCTTAGAAGTTCAAGACATGAATTTTATGGTTGGGAAGAGTTCTGCTAAACCCTGTTTGAAGTTGCACTTATTGTGGTTTGGAATGCAGCCGTTGTATCAATTAAGTAAGGCGTGAAAATCTGTGATTTGGCGTCGTAAACAGAGCGAGGACAATGTCAACATTATTCATAAATTGTAATTACTCAATTCTTTTCAATAATTTGTTGTATTGGTAGTCGTTGCCGTCCTAAAATCGTAAGGTCTCTACTTTGTTAAACTGACCCGACGGGCCTCGAAGTAGAGAAAAATATGGCCTGCCAGTCTTAAAATTTTTCGGCGGGTAAATTTAGCCTGCCATTTTTTTTTCATTTCAAAAGTGAAGCCGGAAGTCACCGGCCGCCACCCGATTCTGGGGCCCCACTTTTGCATAGATTTGTATTTATACAAACGGTAGTTTTTCGCGTTTTTTGCCTTGGCTACGTTTCCGATCGGGCCAATTTTACAATCACAACGATAGAAGCATACAAGAAGAATTTTGAGCAAAAAATTTGGAGTATTATGGCTTTATAACGTCGCGAAACGGGATTTATATGTTTTGCTACTTTCATACAAAATAAACTCAAAATATACAAGAATTATTGTTACTGGACGAATATTCTCACGAAATTTGAAGAAATGAAGCAGCTACATTGTGAACGAAAGCGTACAGAGGTTAGACTTTGTTTATCAACACAAGCTCGTTTGCTACTTTCATACGAAATCACTTAAAATATACAAGAATTACTGTTTACTGGACGAATATTCTCAGGAAACTTGAAGAAATGAAGCAGCTACATTGTGAACGAAAGCGTACTGAGGTTAGTTTTAAAATACCTTGAGGCTACTTTTATAATTATGCGAATTTAATAAGGAACAGTTTTAAATGTCAATTTTGTCAAAAGCATTCCTAGGCGACTTGTCGAGAAGTTTTATATGTTTTAAAGTAGGAAGACAAGTGACAATGAAATATTTTTAATCCAAATTATAAACAACGACTCAATATGTTATTTTAATTCATATAATTATGGAAGTAGCCTCAAGGTATTTTAAAACTAACCTCTGTACGCTTTCGTTCACAATGTAGCTGCTTCATTTCTTCAAATTTCGTGAGAATATTCGTCCAGTAACAATAATTATTGTATATTTTGAGTTTATTTTGTATGAAAGTAGCAAAACGAGCTCGTGTTGATAAACAAAGTCTGAGGCTCTCCACTCCTTCAGAGTTGTAAATCCCGTTTCGCGACGTTATAAAGCCATAATACTCCAAATTTTTTGCTCAAAATTCTTCTTGTATGCTTCTATCGTTGTGATTGTAAAATTGGCCCGATCGGAAACGTAGCCAGGGCAAAAAACGCGAAAAACTACCGTCTGTAATACAAATCTATACAAAAGTGGGGGCCCAGAATCGGGTGGCGGCCGGTGACTTCCGGCTTCACTTTTGTATACTATAGATGCGTTATCCAGTCTTATTTCAGATCAATGCTCAAGACTCAAATGAGTCGTATTGTACTAAAAATCAATGTTTTCATGATATATATTGCATTTTTATTGTTTTTAGACTATTTTACTACAGTAAACTTGGAATTTACATTTTAAATATAAATGTATTTTATAGTCTACTAAATGATTTAATATACTTTAATTACCTCTGACTATAAGCCCCCCCCCCCTGAATATAAGCCCCCGAATATAAGCCCACCACATATACTAACGCTAGCGCTCACAGTCCTTATTCCAAATATAAGCCCCTCTCCTCCCGAATATAAGCCCCCCTCCAAATATAAGTCCCCCTAATATAAGCCCACAGGCCACTACGATATTCAACATTGATCAACTTAACATTGACATAATTGTCTGTTAATATAAATTACCAGAGAATGATATTTAAAAACATTGTCATTAATGTCTTTACAGCTTACTATATAAGTTAATCACAGCATGTGAAAAGGAATATATGTTCTAAAATATATTTTTGGACATTGGCAGACTGCTATTTAGAGCCCTGCATGCGCTGTGTGCATGGTTAAAGGCACAGTTCAGCCTTTTGAATGATGGTTTTTAAGGTGCATTTCAGCCCTTTTAATTAAAAAAACTAACTAGGAAAATCAATTAAGCATAATTCAAAATCAGTAAACTTGATGTTTTTAACAATGCAAATGTTTTAAAATGTTAAAAACATTAAGTGTTGTGATCGCGATCTTCAATTTAATGCTTAATTGATTTTCCTAGTTTGTTTTTTCAATTAAAAGAGCTGAAATGCGCCTTAAAAACCATTGTTCAACAGGCTGAACTGCATGTGCCTTTAATACAATAAATTGTGGAATATATGGTGGCTGATAAGGGCCATGCACCTCTACTGCACAGAAATATATGTGACGCAGTGTTGCAAAGAAATGTGACTGTGTTGCATGGAATTGCGAGTTTTTCCATGGAAATTGACAATGTCCATACAAATGATCAGTGCATGGTGCCCAAATTACTTTGAATTTGTACTCGAGTAAAAGTAGAAGTATAATTAACAATAAACGACTTGAGTAAGAGTAAAAAGTACTGGAGTACGTACTACAAAATGTCCTTAAGTAAAAAGTGCAAAGTATTATGGGGGGGGGGGGTCCTCTCCAATGGATTGTCACATACAAAAGACACACCTTGTTGAAGATATTATGAAATTCAATTAAATAAATATAATGCTTAACCATGAATGAGAGATCCCAGATGCAAGTAGAGGTCCTAATTACTGTACCTACAGTATCGCAAAATCAGGGCATTTTTTAACTATATAACTACTGGAGCATTTACTCCACTGTAGGCCTTTAATTTGTTTGCCCCAGTAGTGCGTGAAACAAAATTTTCAGATGAACTGGGCCCTTTTGATCATAGTGAAAAGTCAACCTTGTTGAACAAGCTGCATCTGCTTATGAGAATCTCATATGCCCTCTCCGCACATTCTTGACATTCCATCTGAACGTCAAGGGTGGTGCTAAACAGGTGGGTGGTGGATGGCTCAGTGGGTGTAATTGGCACACACCCAGTCGTCTAAGCCCAATCTTGTAAGGGTCAGTAATGTATGGCAGGATTTTACTGTCAGGTCATATATAACATTTGTTAATAACATAAGATGCCTTTATAGCATGTCTTGATCACAACCAAATTCAAACATGGACACTCTGCAAGTACAATGGGTGTAATTAACAAGCCACTTAAAATACCTTGATCGTAGCAGCTCTGCAACTCCATCTACGCTGAGGCTCGTAATAGCTAGGCGATCTGTTTGAATTCTGTTGGACTTCAGAGAGCTATATAGATCAGATCTTTCGTAATTACTGCTGAGAACTTGAGAGATTATCAAACTCTTAAAGCATTTAAACATATACTTATAGCATCTGCTGACTATTTATAATCTATTTTATTATCTAGTTTAAGCAATGAGCTATGTCACATATACGACCGAACCTCCCACAACGTAAGTAATTTGCAAGTACTGTTCACTATCAAATTATAAATACAGTGATATACTTATAATAAAATAAAGAGCTAAATTTTTCTGTTTATTTTCAGTGTTGAGTGTGATCTGGATACAACTTATTATCCTCACCTCCTCTTGATACCTGCTGTAAGTTATTAGCCCCGCCCTTGAGATTTCTAAGCGTCACTTTTTTTTTTCATCAGTCTGTCAATTTGAGTTTCAATATTGTGCGAGCCAGGGTGGGAGCCATGTGCCAGAGTGCGAGCCACACGCCACTCTGTCAGTGCGAGCCACATGCCAGAGTGCGAGCCAAGGTGCAAACCATGCACCAGGGTGCGAGCCATGTGCTAGAGTGCGAGCCCAAGGTGTGAACCATGCACCAGAGTGCGAGCCAGGGTGCGAGCCATGCGCCAGAGTGCAAGCCATGCGAGCCACACGCCAGAGTGCGAGCCAAGGTGTGAACCATGCGGCAGAGTGCGAGCCATGCGTCAGAGTGTGAGCCATTAGGTGCGAACCGTGGTCCATGCACCAGAGTGCGAGCCATTTAAGGTGCGAACCATGCGCCAGAGTGCGAGCCATAAGGTGCGAACCATGCGCCAGAGTGCGAGCCATTAGGTGCGAACCATGCGCCAGAGTGCGAGCCATTTAAGGTGCGAACCATGCGCCAGAGTGCGAGCCATGCGAATCTATAATTATTTAAAATGTTTAATGAGTGAAATATGTAAAGACTGTATATTAGTAAAATAATAGACAAAATTCAGAAACAAAATATAAATATAATCAAGAACCCAATTTCAATTACAGGAATTTTAGGTGTTTTAAGATCTAATGGACAACGTACCTGCATGTTAGACCAAATTTTAACCTAAGGAAAGAGATTAGGGAATCAAATACCATTAAAGCTAAAAGGAACATAATGAAATTAGCAAAATCGCAAAATTCGGCCGCAAAATGTTGCAAACCCTGGTAAACACAGTCCTGCAATTAGTTTGCAAACCTTGCATATGTTTGTATTACGTGCGGAAATTGTTAGCATTTTCGGCAAATACAATATTGTAACAGTATTATACAAAACATGCATGCAAACCCCGCAAGGCTACACCTTCCGTATTCTACAACATTTCGCACTAACCAAACTTTGTATTTTCACCAGCTTAACAAGTTCTTTATGGAAAGTTACTTTTTCACCAAGATCAAAAATCAGTCAAACACACAAGTTGTTTATTGCATGTGTGCTGGAGATAAGATGTACTGAGACTGAGTACCATTTGGTCACCCTTACAAAGATTTCCTATAGGAATTCCTATAGGAAAAATTCCTATAAGAATTTGGGACAAAATTCCTATAGGAATTTTTCCTATAGGAAAAATTCCTATAGGAATTTTGTCCCAAATTCTTATAGGAATTTTTCCTATAGGAATTTTTCCTATAGGAATTCCTATAGGAAAAATTCCTATAGGAATTTTGTCCCAAATTCTTATAGGAATTTTTCCTATAGGAATATTTCCTATAGGAATTTTATAGGAAAAATTCCTATAGGAATTTTTTCTACAGAAATTCCTATAAGAATTTAATAGGAAGAATTCCTATAAGAATTCTCAAGTCTAGTCCCAAATTATTATAGGAATCTCCTATAAGAAAATAATTTATTCTAATTTCCTATAAGATTTTTGGTATTCCTGCAGAAATTCTAGAATCTAGATGAAATAATAGTAAATGACAGACAATGTTGTTCATCACTCTTAATTTTTTAGTGCAAAAAATAGATATAAATATTAATAAATACTAATTAATATTGCAAATATAAAAATTAATATGAGAAATTGGTTATACTAAACATTACAAATCAATTATAGTTTTCACCTATTGTGCCAAATTAATCGTTCTACCTCAATGCAATGCCATATCTAACTATTTTACTTTGTCTAATGCCAGACTATTTTACTCTGTCTAACTCCAGATAATTGTACTTGAATGTCAAGGGGAAATGCTGGCTCCGAATGGGTTAACTAGCCTATATTCCTATATATGTGTCTAGTTAACCCATTGAATCACATTGCACCCTGATGCGCCCTACTTTATTATTTTACTATAGTTTACTCTGTCTAACGCCAGACGGTTTTACTCGTCAGAGCGCTGGCACTTAATCGGCTAAACCATAGGTAATAACCATAATTGACATTTAAAGTTAAGTTTAAAACTGGCCTCAAAACATAGTCCTCAAATAAGTTCTTGTTCTTGTTTGCTTTTCTGTACTTTGCAACACTTTCCCATGTTGTTTATATTTGTCCTCATATGTTGACGAACCTCTGAGGCCTTACATCCATACTTTGTTGATAGCTGTAAAAAGACAAATACATTTATTTTATGTATACCATTCCAATGTGTTTTGTTAACCCATTAAATATGCCCAAATGCACCCAATTTATTATTTTACTCTAAGTGGAGAGTCTAGCACTTTAATAGAATAAACACAGTAAAATAACAAAGTACTAAAAGTAGGGCACATTGCTTCTAAATATGCCACACAGCAGCTTTTGCAGTTAATTATTAACCTTTCAATGACCAACATTCACTTTGATGAGTAAAATCATCTGATAAATATCAAAGTACTGAAAGTGGGGATTGAGTGTTAGGGTGAATTGCATCTAAATGTGCTAACGCCAAATAATGCAAAATAGTCTGGTATTAACAGGGCAAAATATTGAGCTTTGAAATAGAGCGCATTAGTGTGAATTTGTGAATTGGGTCTTAATGAGTTTACACAAAACACAGGGAGACAGCAAGGTAACCTATCAAAGTTGTCCACTCTCTTTCAAGTAAAATGATCTGGTGTTAGACAAGGTAAAATAAAAAAGTACTGAAAGTTGAGCACATTCATCTTAACAAGTTAGCATGAAATGTAAGCTAGCAGAGAGTCTGGTTAATTTGAATACCATCACATAGTTATGTTTAATTAATAGAAAAACATTGGATAATTTTCCTGGCATTACACTAAAGCATGTCTAAAGGCTAACAGATTTTAATACATTGACTGGTGCAAGACCTCTCAAAATGAAAATTGTTTAATTTAAACAAAACATATGAATAAATACTGCTGCTGATTTGAGCAAGTAGTTAAATTTTCTATAGGCATGCATTAAATATGGCTGACAATTTACAATTAATCTGGCATATACAGTTGGCACTTGGGATATACAAATATATTAATAAACATGGATAAGTCTGATTCAAATATAAAACTTTTATAGTAGCATTTGTTGAAGTATAAATGCTATAAATATATTTATATCAGCATTCTAATTCCGTTTATATTGTCGCGGCAAATTCAAATTTTATCGAACCACATGCTCGAATTTCACAAATGAAGATTGGAGGTATTTCCTTTATAATTTGCTTTATTATAAATAAAATATAAACTTATTCTTACCTGAACATTATGCAAACATCCCTGATGTATTACTAGTGAAAATCCAGTTGAATCCCATCAAAAATAGTTCTATTTTGCACATAAACCATTGACAAACACTGACTTGAAAAATATCGGAGGTGTGATGATCTATCCCTTGATGCTTTGCGCGCGTGGCAAGAAAACTAGACACCAGTCTGTCAGTCGCGCACATTGCGGTAATTTTCATTTAATCTTAGAAAATAAATAGTCCCAGTATTAAATTCTCTATTAATAAATGTCTATGAGTAAAATACGATATAGGAATAGTGTAGTTGTATAAGAAATTAAAATTCCTATAAGAATTCTTATAGGATATGATAATGGTGAAAAAATTCGTATAAGAAATAAAAATTCCTGTAGGAAGGAGTAATTTCGTAAATTATATTTATCTGTATAATTTTTTATATAAGTAAAGTTCTTATACCCATGCATGATCAGGCCATAGTGGTATAGGCTATGAATTTTTCCCACCATTTTCCAATCCTATAAGAATTCCAAAAGGAATTTTTATTTCCTATAGTATTTGTTTTTCACCATTTTCAAATCCTATAGGAATTTTCATTTCCTATAGGAATTCCTATAGCCATTTTCCAATCCTATAGGAATTCCTATAGGAATATTTTTTCCTATAGGAACTTTTTCACCATTTTCAATTCCTATAGGAATTCCTATAGGAATTTTAAATGCCTATAGGAATTCCTATAAGAAATTTTAATTCCTATAGGAATTCCTATAGGAATTTTCAATGCCTATAGGAATTCCTATAGGAAATTTCAATTCCTATAGGAAATTTCAATTCTTATAGGAATTCCTATAGGAATATTTTTTACCATTTTCAATTCCTATAGGTATTCCTATAGGAATTTTCAATTCATATAGGAATTCCTATAGGAATTTTCAATTCCTATAGGAATTCCTATAGGAATTTTGATTTCCTATAGGAATTCCTATAGGAAATTTATTAAGACCAATTTCTTATATTTATTTATCGCACATGGCTCGCATACATCACATGGCTCGCACCGATCTGTGGTGGCTCACAACATCGGCATGGCTCACTGGCTCGCACTTTGGTAAAAAACATGTTGTCTAATATTTACCATTATTAATGGTAGTTTTCTGGTAAAATATTAAATAAATTATTGTATTTTATTAAAAATGGCTTTTCAAAATTCACTATTCTGATTGATTGACAAGTGGGCCGTAGAAACCCATTTCTGGAATGTGGTCCGTATTTTCCGTATCTGGACCGGTGTCCCGGATGTATTGTTTACCTGGCGGAAAATTTTTGCTTTGCTGAAACAGAAAAAATTCCAATTGTGTGTCATTAAAATTTCAACAGATAAAAATTTCAAACAACAAAATTGTTTTTGATTGAGCATGCAATTACCATATATTGTTACCTAGGAAACAGTGGCAATAATTAATTAGCCGATTTAATTTGCGCAATTAAATTGCTCACAGACTCAGTTCAGCCATATAATAAACCAATTACTGACCTTGCTTGTTCAGTCTGTACTGTGAAATATCAGACCTCCGTTTTTTGCATCTCCTTCGTTGCTCGGTCCATTCTAAAAACCTCGGACTGATATTTCACAGTACAGACCTCACGCTCAGTCAATAAGCCGTTAGTATATGTTGCATTGCATGCGCTTGTATGTAATTTATACCGTAACTAAATAAATGGACGATCTATTTCAGGGGATAATTATCACCATATTGTCATTTTTACAACAAAGAAGAAGTTTTAAGAAAGAAGTTTGCGGAGGTCGGCCTGGACTTGTTGTGTGAGTATATAGTCAGACCTGTCAAGTTTTGAAAAATTTTATGCAGGAAGGTAATTTCCTTAGGTTAGTGGCCACGAGGTGCAACCATAGTTGGCGTGCCCTGAGTGCATGGGGGAAATTTTGAAATTTGAGTTCCCCAGATCGCCAGAAATTAGCCTTTCCAAGGTTTCACAAACCTTATGTGTTCATGCTATAAACAGATGAAATGTTAATTAGCATCGCTTCTCTTACCCAAACTGCAAAAAATAGCGCTCCTCAGGCTCAGGAGTCTCCCAGCTTTTTGTCGCTTTTTGATAACGGAATGAGATACACATTTTCAAGACTTCTGGATGCTGTCGTTGGCAAATAGAATGCATTGGGCATAAATGTGCAAATGAAAAGAAATGCATGGGAGTAATTGCCCCACAAAGCAACCAGAAAGCGAACAAAAATGTGGGAATTTCACGATAATTGCGGGAAACTTGGAAGGTCCGTATTATAATATAAAGTTAATATAAACATTCCTGTGACATTTGTCAGTGTCTTTCCATTCTTCTGAGTTCAGTTTTTTAGACATGCAGTTTAATAATCCATTAATGAGCAATCGACCGCACAAAACTCTCCAATTGAAGAGTAAAATCATCCAGCATTTGGCAGTAAAATAATAAAGTGGGGTATATTGCTGCATAATAAGAGTTAATGCATTAATTATGAGGAGCATAATGTTAATTGTCTGTAGCTATAGATAGAGTAAAATAATAAAGTAGCTAGGGCGCATTAATTGGAGGCAATTAATGCAACCCAATGACGCGTGTTAACTTAAGACACCAAGATGAGGTGGGTAACCAATAACTGGAACTAAACAATGTTTTTGTGAACACCAATAGACCACTTGCATGTTAGACAAATTTTTGATCTTGGCAAAAAAAAAGTAAATTCCCGTAAAGAACTAATATTAAAATTAGTAAAATTGCAAAATTTGGTTACGAAATGTTGTTAAATATGGAAAATATAGCCTTGCAAAGTTTGCATAGTTTGTTTGTTTGTGTTACGAACGGAAGTTGTTACCATTTTTGAGCCAAAAATATCTAACGCCAGACCAATATCTTGCTCTAATGCCAAATAATTTTACTCATCAAGGACAAGAGTGTTGTGCTCAATGAGTTAATTAAATTGCATCCTGTGCATGCAGGCCTATAGATTTCCTTGGCATGGATCATGACCGCCTGGCCATCGTGTGTGTATTTGGAGCTGCTACTGCATCAATCCTGTTTCTGATCCTTCAAAGCATTTCAGGATATAGCAATGCTTGGGGAAAAGGTAGGAATGAGTTTTTTATTTATTATCCAATTTCTAACCATTGGTTAACAGATGTGTTATAGCTAATCGTTTTCATGCGCGGCAGATGTGGTATAGATGTGTGTTTACATTCTGGGGTTTATACCAGGCTTTTAGCCAGAACGGCGTCCTGGGACGCCCCTAGAACCAAAAATGGACGCCTTTGGACGCCCAAATTCTGGGGAAAAGGGAAATTATTTTCAAAGATTTCCCTAAGGCTGGGATTACACTATACCGGATTGATTTTCATACCGGATCAATTTTCACACCGAAGCCAAAATCAAGGGTGTTTACACTATGCCGCTTCGCTCTGTTTCCAGCTCGTATCTTTTATCGTTGCCACGGAAACATATAATAAGTTTTGACTATTTTGGACGTTTTCTCGACAGTACTTGTGAATTATAACTTTGTTTACAAGGCTTGACCGCCCGACGTTGCTTTGTCTCGCTCTTATCGAAAATTAACGAGTATTTCATTAAAATTTTGCCCTCAGTTTGAAAGCAAGAAGTCAGTGTTATTACCGCTATCTTTATTTGTCTTCGCTAGAAATAATAAATAATTGTAAAGCGAAGCAAACAACAGCTATAAAATATTTAAAAGCGAGTAAATAAAACGACAATGTTAAAATATACTTGCCGAAACCTATTTATAGTACCGGAGCGTACCGGTGTCACAGGAAATTTGGCCCCCCCGAAAATTTGGCCCCCCCGGGCCAAATTTCCTAGGAAATTTGGCCCCCCCGGGCCATATTTCCTAGGAAATATGGCCCCCTCTTCGGAAATTTGGCCCCCCCTTAAAAAATATAGTTTGTTTCAGATCTTTAGGCTCGGAAATCGTTAGGCCTCTACTAAAACAAATTTCTAGAAATTTTTCTCAACATTTATAGTCAGTTTGCGTAATTTTTTGTGTCAAAATTCTCTATTGAATTGCAATACTGACGAGAATCTAGGCCAAGAGCTAAAGTTTAGCGTACTTTTCGCGTTTGGTTTTGACCAGCTTCATAGAAGATAACGTTAATAAGGCATGTGAACAACATAATAACAACGTTAACATTAAAGCAATACTTTTTCTTGTAAACAAACGAAGAAAAACACTAAAATCGCAAGTATTTGTGTTGCTTGACTGAAATGTAGCATACGCTAATTATGGAACGGCTACAGTAATTTCATCTCGGCAAGGGGACGAAATATTCCATATGAACGTACGGAAATATTCGTCTCGGTAGGCAAGACCTCTCGGTAAGTGGGACATATGAACAGCTCCTAAATAATGGCTGTATCATTAAGCTATTGAAACGGAACGTCATTTAAACTTTTGTGCTTTTGTGTGTGCGGAATATTTTTGTGAGCGATGAAGCATACAGAATGCTTCTGTAATGCATCCCAACCATACGAGCAATTATATATACTGTGTATATGAAAGAAAAAAACCCATAGGAAAATGTTTTTTTACGAAGTAACCACTCATTTGATTCTGTTTTTCGAACAAACGTTTTCACTTAAAAGTCTACTTTTACCGCTAATTACTCCCTGTTATTTATTAGACGCGTGCATATTAACATATTCGCCAACGCATGATGTCATCGTTTGCTAAAGTGCGGTTGTTATTCTGACTAATTTTATACTATGTGACTGAATTTATAGATCTAAATAACTCGTAATATCTTAGAAATTCTTATCTCTAAAATCGTTTTGTGTTCTTAGTTACAGTTAAGCCATCGTGCATTAACGTTGTCCTCTACAGATACCCATGTGTGATGCGTCTGGCATGACTGCACTAACACATATTATGCTTTCCTTCAAACTTTTAGCTCTTGGCCGCAATGAAGAATTTCGACACAAATAAATTATGCAAACTAACTATAAATACTGACAAACATTTTTAGGATCTTTGTTTAAGAAGAAACTTCACGATTTCCGAGCTTATAGCGACAAAGTAAACTATGTTTTCGAGGGGGCCAAATTTCCGAAGGGGAGGCCATATTTCCTAGGAAATATGGCCCCCAGGGGGGCCAAATTTCCTAGGAAATTTGGCCCGGGGGGGCCAAATTTTTGGGGGGCCAAATTTCCTGGGACACTGGATTGCCTGATTACACTTGGTTTTATCCGAATATCCGGTACAGCACGTACCGGATTACTTTTCATATCACCTCCAAAGCGAAGTGATTTTCGCGCCGCGGCACGTACCGGATTACAGTGGCGTAGTGTAAACAAGAGGCCAATCCGGTACAGAAATCGCGTCGCTTCGATGCAATCCGGTATAGTGTAATCGGGGCCTAAGTGTCCTAAGTATATTTAACAAATATAAAACATTTTCCGTGTTGATATACAGCTGTTATATCAACACGAGTAGAAATTGGGAAAACGAGAAATTGTGTGGAAACACGACGCCCGAACATTGAACTATAAATAAACTGGAAGGCTAAGCCCGAACGACGGAGTGTTTTCACACAATTTCGAGTTTTCCCAATTTCCACGAGTGTTTTATAATATAGCGCAAAGAAACATAAAGAAAGAAATTTCCCAATTGTTTTATAATATAGCACAAAGAAACATAAAGAAAGAAATTTCCCGACCTTTCCGTGTTGACATTGAGTTATATCAACACGGCTCTTAGCCAATCAGCGTTCAGAATTTACAAATGCTATATTATAATAATATATCTGAAACGAAATAGCTTCAATTTTCATTACTACTATACATTTGACATTTTGATCAATTTGATGGAGTACCTGGCCGAATGAAAATGTCGTAGTTTAAATAAGTAAAGAAGCATAGCGGCAAAAACTCATAAAGCCAAGTGTGTTCGAAAAATTTCGAACGAGCTTGGAACAGATACCTACACGAAGTAACGTAAACTTTTAAAGGTTTTCCAAGAAACGTTTTCTCAAACCCTCTCCCATTTACTGTAGATGTATCGTTATATCAAAATTGGACGCCCTCTTTCAGGACCCTGGCTAAAAGCCTGGTTTATACAGTGTCTCAATGAAGGAGGATCCTAAAAAGCATGACTCATATTTTACATAACTGTACATGACTTTGGAGTTTCTGCTCACTGAACCGCATCTACACATTTAGTATGTCCATTGATTGACGTATCATATGGTTAGGCGTTGTCTTCGAAACTAACTTATTTGCTTAGAAATGCGTGGCTAGTATATTTACTAACTCATGCATGGCTTAAACTAGATGTTCAATCTACAGGAAAATTATTTCATTTATATACAGTATAATGAATATAACTTTACAATACTTCATAATTGTCTTCCATATGTATATGTGAGACTTTTGCACGTTTTATCTCATGCAATTCTTGTTTGACCATGCATGTACACTTTATTCGAGGTTAAGTTTATCTGCCAGCATTTCTCATTGGAACCTGAAAAAAAATATCCAGTTATCATGTAGCAATTCATATGGGAACCTGTCTCGGAATTACTTTTTAAAAATTCTATTAACCGATTGACTTCCTTTGACAAGTAAAATCATCTGGCGTTAGACAGTAAAATAATGAAGTAGGGCGCATTAGGGCGCAATGCAACTCAATGGGTTGATCTTTCTTCTATAGCATTCCTTATCATTGGAACCTGTATTGAAATTGCTTTCCTCTATTATCCCTACTTTGGATGTTTGACGTCACATCACAGAATAATTGGCGCTTTGATGGGACTTCCATATGCAGTAGTCTGGTAAGTAGGAATGAACTCGTGCTGTAATAAGAATCTTCCTTAACGAGCGGACATTAGAAAAGTGATGAGATGGAAAAAAGTGTGTGTGTGTGGGGGTGGAAGCGAGTTGCCAGGTACCCTGGCCTGGGACTTCCGCTTTCCCGAGACAAATTACACTTGTGTTTATAAGAGAGGGTTGTAGTTTTGTTCAACCTACTTTTCACTCAAGTGCTCCGAACTTATTTCCGAAGTGCGTTAATTTGTTGGAAAATTCAAAAGTTCATAGTTGAACATGTAGCATGATTCAGGTGAGGTATAGGACGTCTGCTGCATGTGTGTGTTTGTAGAATGCAAACACATACAGTAGTTCCAGCTCGCTGATTACACTGGGAATTTTTTCAAAATCCTTACTCTGGAAATAGTACTATGTACTATGGAAATTGAATAATTCCATAGTATGGATTTCGCTATTTTTTCCAGTGTTAGACTAATACGTTTTAGAAAAATATGTTTTGTTTACTGTACCTCAAAAACTAAGTATACCTCGAGTCTCAGGTTTCAACCAGCTCAAGTATGGGGGCAATGATCGAGTACCAGTAAAGTGCAAATAAGAATCTCCGCATTCTGCATATTGCCATATAGCAAATGATTAGAATGCTTATTATTAAAATTGTTTTACCTTATTGTAGCTTTATTCTGTACTTGACTGGAGCTTTTCAAAAGTGTAATGTAAGTTTATTTGAACATAAAATCTATATTACATGAATGATGAAGTGGCTCTGTTAAAAGTACCCTCTACTAACGAAACAGTTGAGCGAAAAGCAGCCTGCTTTTAGCCCGAACTTTCGAATGCGGAAATAACGGTCTGCTGAACTGGAAGCCTAATTGACAATTGTGTACCGTGACGTACAATTTAAACTCTTCGACACGTATAAACCTGAAACTCGCTGGAGTTTTTAAGCCAGTAGATATCTACAATGTAAAGTGACAAAGTTTCAAAAGTGAAGATCGTGGGCAAAGACCTCGGCAGATAGTTTGGCCTGTCTTCTCATGGCGAGTAAAATCGTAGAAAACCGCAGTACATGTACCCGGAGAAAACTTGCGGAGAAGCCATTGACTTTCCATATATTTCCACGTAAGTGGAAAGGCGCTTATTTTGGTGCCTTCGCGATTGGCTTTATAGCATGTCAACATATAATTACAGAATAGGAACCATACAGAAGGCCGACTTCTTTGCTTTGCTTACGATTTTGGCGTAACCATTGCAATGCTGTCGCCATCTCTTTAGCCAGTGCGCTTATGAGCGGCATTCAGCTCCGAAAAATTAAAAAAAGGCGGACGCTCAGGCAAGTGAATGCTTTTCACAAGCGCACTCACTAGAAAGCAGTGCTAGGAACATGGCGAAAGCATTTTGGATACGAAACATGGCGCTTCGGCAGCTGCGTTCTCTTGGCTGAGTCTCGGGCTGAGTTGACCTGTTTGTCTCTATTCTGTGATATAATCGCTTTGACTGCCTTTTTTTCCCATTATTAGAACTACGTGACAAGTGTATATGTTGTGAATGCATTCGTTGAGATACCATCGATATTATGCAATTTGTTTATTATGGGGAAGTTTATACTTGTACTTTATAAGGAAATTAAGGAAAATGGAACATTCAAAGTGAAATTCTTTTTTCATAATGTAAGTTATGGTTTTTTCGACCCGAGATTGCACATAAGAATGGCCATATCGTTCAATATTCATTGCATAGCATCAATAGTTTTTGTGCCTTTTTTGTTTTTCTTTGTTTTGGTGTATTTAAAATATATTGGCCTTTGCACATGCTCAAATTGTAAGTTTAATCTTAAAATGCCTTTATCTTTGCTCGGGTTTCGTAATACAGTCGAACCTCTATTAAGCGGCCACCCTCGGGGATCGGTTTTGTGGCCGCTTAATAGAGATGGCCGCTAAATAGAGGTACGCAAATAATAGACCCAGTCCCTGGGCGTAGTCAAATGTCTATTTTTAATTATAAATCACAGAATAAAATAGTGATTTTATCTTTAATTTTCAGTTTTATTTACTATAACATTTTTTCACAGGCATACATTGTGCCAACAACACGAGGCCATCACACTATCATATTTCACGCTAAACCTTTTGAACAAACATTTAGGAACTATAGTGGCATAAATTTATTACTAGGAGACCAATATGCATGGTTCTATTACCTATATCTAAACCTAAAAATCCTGCAGGCTGGCCGCTTAATAGAGGTAAAAATTGACATAAAACATCATTTGGGACCGCTCCTTGGGTGGCCGCGGCCGCTTAATAGAGGTGGCCGTTCAATAGAGGGATAGTTTGTAGTATTTGTATTTGTATTACAAAAATTTCGGGACATGGACCTATTCCCCATGAACAAAATTTTGATCTAGACAAGTCTAGACAAAAATTTCATCATAGCTTGAAAGAGCATCACAAAATTAGTAATATTCCAAAGTTTCGTTGCGAATTGTTGTAAAATGCGGATAATATAGCCCTGTGAAGTTTGCCGTTTTTCAGTCATTTTGTATTACGCACGGGAAATTTATACCGCTTTCTGAAAGAAGGTATCAATTTCCCATGCGTAATACAAAATGACTGAAAAACGGCAAACTTCGCAGGCCTATATTATCCGCATTTTACAACATTTCGCAACAAAACTTCGGAATATTAGTTGAAGAATTATCAAGCCCGAAGTTTGTGTTATCAACCAAAGCCTGATTCTTCTTTTAAATAAAGAGTAATATCACTTGAATGGTAACCGTATGCTTGTATTTAGGATGATCAGTCAGGTGTGCAAGTGAAGTTGGTCAGACCTTGGTTAAAAGATTACGTTAAGGACCTTATGAAATCAAAGTAAGAACGTGGATAATAGAAATTAGTGAAATGAATATAACTGGAACGCTACCTTCAACCAGAAACTTGAAGGCCAGTCCCAGTCTTCTCACGCATGCGAAGAGCGCGGTCAAACCGTCAACATAAACATGTATTTTTGAAAATCGGTTTAAAATTTATAATAATTATTTTTACTGTAACAGCGCTCAAAGCTTGTTATTAATGTATTTATTTAGGTAAAACTTTTTAGTAGACTTTGTATTGTATTCTCGCTTAACCGATAGCAATATCTTTTGCCCAAGTTATCCATACGCGAATTCAACAAATAGTTTTTCTTACGCCAAGCGTCCAGGCCTTCTCCGCCATATTTTAGTGACATTGGCAAGCTGCGCAACAACAAAAGATGAGTTGATTTGGGAAAAAGACTGTTCACACCGTCTACCTCAAGACGATCTCTTGCCAGTGGGACATGCAGTCTTTGAACAGAAGAGACTTTAAAACTTGGTCACTGCTAATCAGATATTTTACCTCATTTATAGACCTCTCCGCAGATATTCAACAATAGAGTTCTATCTGAGGAAAATTTACAATCCCGAAAAAAGTAAGTTCTTCAGACGCATTGGCGTTATATCGATTTCCTATCTAAAGTTCAAAATTAATGAATTACATAGATCTAAATTAAATTAAGCTAATTTTTAGTATATTTATACTATACATAGTTTTATCAGTGCTGGCTTTTAAACAACTCTCCCTAGAGGACCATGCAGTGTCATGACTTACAGGAGGTATCCCAAACTGAGTCTTCCGTTTATGATTATACTGCATGGATAGCTCCATCAAATCTAAACTGTCTTTCCTAGGGTTCATAACTTCGTCTTTTAGGAAAGTACCAAGACTAAATTAATTTTATTTATCAGCTGCATAGCTCAATCAATTCTTATATCATCCCGTACTAGTCCAGTATTTAACACTACAAGAGGATACCAGAGTACCTGGCAACAACCTGCATGGCCTCTGTACAGTCAAGCTGGAATCCGACTCGGTGTTCTCCCATGTGACTCAGACAAAAGTATATTCTAAAAACGTCAGAGACATGCATTAACCGATATTCATCAAACTCCTTCAAACTATGCATGTATTCATGATTACTCATTAGACTAGATAGCTAATAGATCTTTCCCCTTATAACCAAAATTTTGATTTTAGGCAAGTCTAGACAAATATTTCATCACAGCTTGAAAGAGCATCACAAAATTAGTAATATTCCAAAGTTTCGTTGCGAAATGTTGTAAAATGAGGAAAATATAGCATTGCGAAGTTTGCAATTTTCAGTCATTTTGCATTAGAAACGGGAAATTGCAGCCCCAACACCCGAATCCGGATGTCAATTTCCCGTTTGTAATACAAAATGACTGAAAAACGGCAAACTTCGCAAGGCTATATTATCCGCATTTTACAAGATTTTGCAACAAAACTTTGGAATATTACTAATTTTATGATGCTCTTTCAAGCTGTGATGAAATGATGATTTTATGATGCTCTTTCAAGCTAGATCGAAATTTTAGTTATAAGGGGAAAGGTCCATTCTATTCAGGATGTTGGGCATCTCACTACATAGAACTTGTTGAGGAGTTTTGTAGATGGAAATTTTGAATGTAAAGTTTATACATTTATTGGACCTAACCAGAGTCAGTTGCGAAAATGCAACTATGGCGGGTCTTCTGGCAGGAATCGAACCTGCAGCCCAGCGATTCTGGTGGAGCGCTCCAAACTAGCTACAGAGTCCAGTTGTCTTAACTCTGAGCTCGGCGCGCGACTGTACTCTGTAGTTCGGTGGGAGTGCTGCACCGGAATCGCAGGCTCGATTCCTGCCAGAGAGCCTATATTTGTATTTCCATGTAGTTCTATTCAGTTTAAAAAAAAGATGACTACCAAGTTCTAGTCTCCTACGCAGCTTGTTCGCGGGTCCGAGGTTTTCTCCCCACTAACAGGCTGCTTACTGCAGCAACACATTCCATTCCGATTGTTTAGCCAATCACAGCCCGAGTACCAAAATCACGAACTCGTTCGCGCTTAAATTTAATATTCCGAAACAAAGATGGCGTCGTATGATCAAGCATTGTATGAAGTCGCCCATTATTTCGTCTTTCTACTTTCAACGATCATCAGAGGAATGCGATTCGAACAATAATTAAAGAAAAATGAGATGCGTTTGTCAACACGCCTACTGCGGGCTTCGATAAATCGATTTGCCTCTTATGTGATGTGATCGCCTGTTCCACGAATAATGCCAGAGCAGTAGTTCATGGAATACCAGAGCCCAGAGGCATTGCTCTTTATAAATCATTGACTATTTAACTGCCTTATTTATGTTTCAGTACCACCATTTTAATAATTTATCAGATTTCTTTAAAAATTATTTTGTGACAAACAACAAAATTCATGAACATAAGTCATAACACTACGAAAATGCTTCAAAACTTCACGAACGGTAGTAATATGAAAGGACAAATTATTTTAATTATGTGAAACACAGTCTCTCGTATAAAGGAGATGATATATGGAATTCGTTAGAAACAAAATTTAATGAAATAAACTCCTATAACATATCTCCAAAAGCAAATTAAACAACACTTTGCTATACACAATTGACAATTTATACCATAAGTCCATAAGGCATAATACTGACTATAAGACATGCGATAAAACATACTTCTGTAAGACTGTATTAAAAAATATATATGTAATACTTTAATAATATATAGCACTTTAGTTTAGTATTTTGTTGGTCATTGTTGCCAAGTCATTGTAAAAATTTAAATGCATCGCCAACTTTAGTATTAATTTATATACTGTTACGAACATTGCCCTTACAGTAACTTCTTTTTCTCTGTTGTAAATACAGACGTACATATTCTTCAAAACGTCTCATTTTACATATTGCATGTATGACACTATGTCTATGTGATTTAATAATTATTACAAATGAACAGTATTTATCAAACTAGAAGCCTAAAATCTAAATAGAAAGTCTACAAAGATATCTATAGTAGATATCTAGCCCAAAATCGTTTAAAGATAAATTTTAAGTAGCTTTTTTATATATGGGGAAAATTAAATAAAAATATATAATATATATAAGACCATATAAATTTGTAAACAACTATTTTGAACGACAAGTTGTCAATTTCGAAATACTGCATGTATTCAAATTAACAAGAAATCAAATATAAAAATATTTATATACATTTGCTAGTTAAAACTATACTCTATAGCAATGTACTTAATGATACACTTAAATGCTACTCATATATAGTTTTAGTTTTAATTTAGGCTTGTAAAAATATGCTGTAAAGCAAAAGTGCTCGAGGGTTTGACTTCTATTATGGTTTCAAAAGTGCTCGGGAGTCGGGTTTTATTTGAGCGCATAAAATCCGAACACTTTTGAAACCATAAAAGTCTGAGAACTCGTAATACCCGCGAGCACTTTTGCTTTACAGCATATTTTTTGTACAAGCCTAAATAGCCTCCGTTATATAACCTCAGTCGAGCGAGATTATTTGAGAAGGATACCCAACACCTCTAAACCCAACACAATAGCCAAGGCGGTCGCGCTCATTTTATCATTTCTTTGCTTGAACAGCACTGAGCCACATAGCTGCTCTCACTGAATTTCTTTAGATCATCCTCCCCAGTTTTTTTAACACAGTCGAGAGTTTCTTTCTAAAACACAAATCGCTAACTTCCTGGGAAACGATGTCAAGCACTTTCTGTGTAACCACCTTGCGGACGCCAGACTGGAATGTAAGGTGTGTACGCCGGACTTGTCCGGTGTACAAACACAAACTTTGGCGTACATAATGGCGTACATTTGTTTACATAGACTAGTAATTGTTCAAATTCAAAAAATATGGACCAAATAGGTTTATACTAAATAGGTGTATTTGGAACTTTTGAGCTTTTACATTTCCAAAATTGGCGTACAGTTACATGTTCTTGAATCGATGTCCGGCGTGCAAAAAGTTAACTTTCCAGACTGGTGCGGACGGGTTGCATTTCATATTACTGCCCGGCTGCCGTATATAGAGGTCCATACAGCAACGCTTTCCCCAATGTATTGTAGGTATCACACACAGTTTTACTCACAGTCACAGTTCCAAGGAGTAGGAACGAAATATGGGACGATAAAAGCTGGGTCCATGGATTGTGTCTTTAATAATAATAGTGTAACTTTCAGCCTCAACTAGACAACAGCCGTTTCATAACAGACGTTTTTGCAAATAAATAAATCGTTACTGTCAGAATATTGTTCACATCAACATTTTATACTGATACCTTGATCAGATCAGCTATACCAAGGGCACTTCTCCCGTCATACAGAATATAAACAAGTTGATTATTTCAAACAGGCGTGTAATATATTTTAACAGCAGTAAACACTGAGATATATTTAGCACTGAACAATTAATTAGTCACTACTGAATTTGGCGGGAAGCATACATCATGCCGTTTCCTGATTGGTCAAGTTGAAACAATCGGAATGGAATGTGTTGCTGCAGTAAGCAGCCTGTTAGTGGGGAGAAAACCTCAGACCCGCGAACAGGCTGCGTAGGAGACTATCTTTCATAAGGCAGAGTACAATTTCTAATAGTATAATTCCCTGCACCAGAATGATGAAAACGATCTTGGAATATTGCGAGCAAGGGGTTAGTAAAATGGCATACTAAAACTGCAAGAACGATCCCGTTAGCAAACACATGTCGTTTCCAGTACTTCGAATACACTCGCGTCATGGGAATATTATGCCAATGTATGCAAATAAAGGTAGACAAAAAATTGAACACGAATTGAATCACTAATCCTGAATAGCAATTTTCGTTAAACATGACTTCACGATGCACCAATCAAAGAGAGAGCTAAAAATTTGTAATCGTATATAAAACGATGTATGATTGGCTTAGAATCAGTGAATTGTTTTCAAGAAGTATATTTTGTATCTTGGTGTTTGCTTTAACAACGTGCAAGGGTTTAGTAAAATAGTAAAATAACTACGAGCAAGAGTTTAGTAAAATAGCATACTAAAACTGCAACAACGATTCCGTTAGCAAACATATGTAGTTTCCAGTCCTTCGACCACACTCGCGCTATGGGAATATTATGCCAATGTATGCGAATAAAAGTAGACAAAAAGTTGAACACGAATTCAATCCCTAATCCAATAGCAATTCTCGTTAAAGATGACTTCAGGACAGACCAATCAGAGAGCTGAAAGTTTGTAATCGTATAAAAAGCGATGTATGATTGGCTTAGAATCAGTGAATTGTTTTCAAAAAGTATATCAGTTTTGTATCTTGGTGTCTGCTTTAAGCCTTCTATGATGTGGTGTCTTTCCAGGCAAATGGTGAAGTCTTGCACAGCAAGTTGCGTTCAGAAACCTTATAACTCGCGCCCATACTTTCTCACGAACACCTCGGATTGAGGAGATAGCTCGACAAACAGCCAGATATTCTTTAAGTAATGAAGGAAGCCCGTACGAAATAAACCAACGCAAAGCTTCGTTCTGGCTCGATAATCTCTCTACACATAGTAGTCAGTACCAGTGCTAAGGTCGGTGTCA